TTATTAGCTAAGGCGGCACTATGTGTTACTGATTGTGTTATTGCAGAAATGGAGAAGTTAGGAAATCGTTAGAGGTATTACTACTACTATCATCTATACCTCTAGTTGATGATATTGTAGGTTGGCATTACGATTGGCTAAGGATCCTCGATTTACTAGACTTACTTGTGATCATCATACTGGGACTTGTGCTGATGATTGTCTAGTTACAAGAGTACAACAACATGGATGCTATATAGTAACTACTAATGATAGAGATTTAAGACGTAGATTAAGGAAGGTAGTAATAATAGTAATAGTTGATTATCATCCTGGTTAATAGGACAATGTTATTATTATTAGATACCTGGTGTACCTATTATAAGAGTCCAACGTGGGAAATATGGTGTAACCATAACAACAACAAGGTTCATTGTCTCATCCACATTTTTTCCTTCAAAACTCTTCTTGTAGCGCAGTAGTAGTACCCAGCGCATCTTGATCACTTATGCATATGAGGGCCACAAAATGGATCAAAGCAACCAGCCAGGGCCTGGTCGACAGGCCTTTAAATTCCTTTTCGGACCTTGCGACTGGTTCATTGATCATCAAATATGGCTTTCTCCACTTTACGTGAAGTGTCTAACCTACGTAATGGTCGCCTGGAGAGGGTACCTCTTCGTGAATGACTGGCGGAGCGCAAGATTATGAAGATATCATTCTTCATGGAGTACCGGGAATGGTAATGCTACATGTCATGCTCATAGTGTAGGCCCATTCCCGATCGGTTGCATGCCATTCCAATCTACGAACTATTCGAAGTCCTAGCTGACTCGTCCTAGCTCGAATACGACTCTGTGCTCTCGCTCTCCACCGATATTGAACTCGTCACCCGGGACACATCGCCATTAGGCTGAGCCAAAGCTGTCATTTCTACCCACTCGGATCCCTAACCATGCCCACTAGCGCAATACCTTGAGTTAGCATAGTGTAGGCCCAATCCCAAATCGGGAATCCCGATCGGTTGCATGTTATTCCAATCCACGAACTTTGCGAAGTCCTAACTGACTCGTCTTAGCTCGAATAGGACCGCATTAGCCAAGCGAGGAGCTTGGGCGCGCGGAAGAAAACTTGGGCCAGAGGGAGAAAATCTTGGGCACGCGAGGGACGAGGCAGTATGTCTAGCTAATAATGTCCGAATCTGTATCCAGTTCTCCTTCATCATCTTCTTCCACATCATCTTTCTCCACTTTAACGAAAGTAATTGACATACAGTCGTTGTTGTTGTTATGTATTATTAGGTGTTCGTTGGTGCTGCAGAAGGTAG